GAGTCATTACATCTTTCTAATAATGCCACACATTAACCATTCGAGCTTTTTACACAAAGAATTAACCATCATTACATATCAACATTCTCGATATATCTAATAGAAATATTAGGTTAAATAATCAATAAATAGTGTATTTGGTGTTTGATAAAGATATTCTTTTCATACCAATTAAAATCTGTTTGTCTTAATAAAAATTTCTACTTTGCCTTTAGTGAAACTGTTTGTCTCACAATCATTTTCTGTCTAGATTACACTCTTCTACTTCTTTACATTCATCATAGACGATCACATACCGAAGATACGGATTGGTTAAATATTTTATCCTTTGGATCATATTGACATTTGACCAACAGATAACATTTTTTTTACTTGAATGTCATTTAATATCTTGTTTTCATAGTATTCATATTTTAGGTGCATTTTATTGATAGTCAAAACTATCCTCATAAGAAATAGAGAAAATATAAATAAAATAATAAGTATAGATTCGATATATCCTGACCTTCTTTAAGCATTAGGTTTTATATGAAAACATATTGGTGATTTTCACAAAGATTATCTTCTGTTGAAACATTTTATTGATAATCAATTTGATATAAGTTGTTATAGATATTACCGACCTAATTTTTCTATGACGTGAATATTTCTTATCAACTCTCATGAAACGCGGCAGTAACACCAAATGTAATGAACGATGAACTCAGAGGAGAGGGAAAGACCAATTTATTATTCAATGCATAATTATGGAGTGCCTTCAAAAAATATGAATACTATAAATTAAATACATTATTTACACATCTTTTTTCAGTTATCCTTTGCATAATTAATGATTCTTTCAATTCTGCTGCTATTATAGTCACTCTCTGTTTAAATTCCTGTTTTCTTCACTTAGATCTTCTCATTCATTTGCTGCTATGCATTCCACTTCTGGTCCGTGTTACATACTACTTATACTTGTCAACATAAGTAGCACACACCACACCGTTTCACCTCCTTCTTTGCCATAATCTGTACCATGCTCTCCGTCGAAATGGCAAGTGCGCCGCGTTCTAACCTTCATAGCAATGTCAACATGGCGGATTATCTAAATCTGATGTCCACCCAGCACCCGGGACGTCCACTGCTTGTTCTTCAGTGACCCGATAAGCCGTCTACATTTGAGTTCCGCTCAGCAACCGGACGTCTCTTTTCTTCTCCCCGTCGACTGCCACTGCTACAGCCTACGCCGCCCTGTAAGAAACACTCCATTCTACCGCACCAACCAGAGATTCCTCTTCTGTCCTCGCAACGGCATCTACACTCTCCACCTCCCCTTTGGTAGCGACACCAAATGTAGTGAACGAACACTCGAGTGGAGACACATATACGTTTAAATATAGGCTTTAAAAGATAACTTAATCTATTGTATCAACTTAAATCTATACAATAATGTATCAGCCCCAATTCAATAGTTATTATACCCTAAAAGCATTTTCTTGTGGGAAATACAGAACAGATAAATGCGATTCCAACAAAACTTTACCAATTCCACAAAAATATATTGAGGCATAAAATGTTGTATAAATCTTTATTGTGAAGCATGTATATGGTATGCGCTACTGTTATGTAACAATCAGCAAGAGATTAGTTACTTACAATTATATGTATACATAACCATTAAGTTCTTTTCGTTCTATCTTTTATACACGGACTAATACGAAATTGTTTTTGAATATCCTTAAAACTAACAATAATCTATTCATAAATAAAAATAATATATTTGTAATATCCCAATGAGTAGAAAATTGGATTTTCTGACGTTTCGTGACTTAGTGTAAATCACTTCTTCAGAGAATAAATAACCAAATTAAAATTAATCCAAGTTTAAATAGTACAAAGGAACAATGAGTTTATTCACAAAACAACTATCACTTTAGAGTTGATTTAATTTACATAATTCATAATTAAATTACTAAACTGTAATTGTTCACAATTGTAAAATAAGACATGGGATATTTTTGAAAATTTAGATTCATTTATCGCGAAAAAAAATGTTATAAGTTCATAAATTGATAAAAATTATTCACATATAGTAAGAGTTTGTAGCAAATGTTGAATTCTGTTTAAATCATAAGCCAATTTAGGTTAGACCACCATTGAAAACCTAGAGACAATGAACCCTAGTACGTGACTCCTTAGGAGTGAGCATCCTTGGCTCTGCACACAATAATCTAACCAAGGACCGACAGTTTCACACGCCTAAACTCTAGATCACTAATTCTGGAACCAACGGTATTATTGTCTAATTTCAATCAATTCACGACATTACACGACAAGATTCGATTGTCTTCGATGGGTGATTGCCTTACACCCGATACTAATTAGCTTCATTGGTCACGGCCTCTTATCAGAACCCTGGAAATTTTTTTGTAGATAGCCATTATTGAAAATATGACTTCAGTATTTGCACTGGATCTGAAAATAGGTTTAAATCACACATGAACTTGTAATGTGATACAAGCTAAACGAATAATGTATTTTTTATATTACGAAAGTATTCATCATAAAAGTTCTCCATTAAATGCAAGCTAGTGATATTCTTAATGAATGATTTTAGTTGCTTAATTTACAAATAACTAGTGTTGGGTACCAAAAATTGTTTATTGATATACGTTTGCTGGTTAACACTTTATACACTGATTAGCATTTATTAGTAGATAATTCTCGTATTTTCAGACCGCAGTCGAAAATATTGTAAGATGATGACTAATATAATTCACACGACAAAATGCATTTTCTCTGATATCCAGCCTCTAGAATCAATATAAAGTAAACACTGTACCCAGTCTTCGTGATAGGTAGCTCCTTTTCATATCACTTAAACCGATTTAATCGATTATTCTCATAATATTCAAGCCTATAGCTCTTAACGTCTCTGTCGAAAATACTACCGAAAGCCAAGTTTTGAAGAACCGTGATGTATATACACCAAATAGTTATTGATGAGTCTGCTTATTGAAGGCTGAATTCGATTTCTTAGCCGCTTGTAATAACCTTTGACTCAATCTTCAAGGATACTTAAACATAAGAGAAAAGGCTCAAATTTCAAGAAACAGCTTCACTCCAAGGTTAAAGTATGTACAAAAAAATTTGCGTATTTTCACTATTTAAAGTGAAAATGATCATACATTAAGCTCTAAAAGTACACTGAGTACATCAGTAATAAAGTATCTATCCAATCAAAAACGTAGATATTTTGGATATATCTTATTGATGAGTGTCCCTTTATATAATACTTAGTTTTATAGGTTTCAAATCAGTTGTCTTCAAACATCTAAAATACATTCCACGTTAAAATAATATTTTTTTCAACATTCCATGAAATATATTTTACTGTTAAATCACATATTATCCAAGAGTAAATGTTATCTAATTTCCCCTCAAATGATAGTCCAATTATTACAATTCCTCATTTCACAAACAAATATCAAACAACGATTATCGTAGAGCTCCCCAGCAGTGACCATCCACGACCTCGCTCCCTGCGAGACTCGAACCCAGGACCTACTGGTTTCGCACGCGAGCACTTAACTACTAAACCACTGAGTCGGCAACCAGCAGTGTTAATGTCTAACTTCAATTAATCCACGAAATTGAGCGACACATCCACCATTGTTTTCAGTGAGTTACTATCCCACAACAGACCTGGTTGAACTCCACTCGTCACTAGTTCTCACTAGAACTCCATAAAATACCTCTTGAAGCCAGTCACTAGTGAGCATATGTTGATTATTATCAGATGGGTTTTGTGGATATTACAGTAATTTCAATGGTTAAGATCATGAGATATGTTCTGAAGTTCTAGTGAGAAGTAGTGACCAGTGGAGTTCAACCAGGTATGTCATGAGATAGTAACTCACTGAAGACAATGGTGTACGGTGGCGCAACCTCGTGGATTAGTTGAAGTCAGACATTAACACCGTCGGATGCCGACTCGGTGGTCTAGTGGTTAAGTGCTTGCGCTCGAAACCAGTAGGTCCTGGGTTCGGATCTCGCATTGGACTAGGTCGTGGGTGCGCACCACTGAGTAGTCCCACAATGCGACGGAACGGCCATCCAGTGCTTCCAGGTTTTCCATGATAGTCTAGCTTCAACTGACTCATAATCTCAACTATTGAAATTACTATAATATCCACAAAATCTATATGATATTATTTTCGAGTTACTTAATTGTTCTGAAACGACTATTTATGGTTTTGCATAGCGGTTTACAATAATTTCCATTGTTAGTATATTGTTATTAATATGATTATAGAAATAATCTTTCTTGTGACATTTTCTCCATCTCATCCAAGTAGATAATGATTTCTATTCAACTGGCTAATTCATTTCGTTTATAACTAAGTGATTGAATTTACCAACAATTTTATTTTAGTGTCACAGTTCTTTTATAAGTTTAAGATTTATGCGGAAATATGAAATGTGAATAAACCATAATTTATTGATCATCATAAGAACTAATACCTTTTTCATTTTCTACAGAATAACTTTAAAATTGAAATAGTACTGTAAAATTTCTAGTTCAAAATTAGTTGTGTAAACAGTTGGACTGGCTCTCTTTCTAAATATGTATGTATATCAATGTATGTAAAAGAAGATTGAAGGTAGGGGATAAGGTCAAGTAAAGATTTTAAAATTCTATAAGCGAAAGGTAACTATCTTCTTGTTGTACGCCATCTAAATTATATAAGCTATATCAAAGAAGGACCAAAGATATAATCGTTTTTTTTAAATAAAAAAAAACCTCGTATACATTTATGTGTATGTACTTGGGCCTGCCTATCTATATCTCTGTTGTAAAACCACGTGTTAATAAAGCACACTTATCCCTAAAGCCCTCAATGTTTCCGAAATGATAAATTAGACTAGACAGGTATAACTACGACAGGCACCATTAGGCACAAAAAGTGTATGCACCCGCAACATAACACATATATATCCATAATAAATACTCTTGATTCGTTTTCCTCTAGCTCATAATTATTAAGGTTCTTGGTATCTTATTTCATAAGTGGGAGAAAGTTTCAGTAAATTACACAGATCATAATTATTAAAATGTTATGATATGTTTCGTGTTACCACAGTTATTATCACCTTATATCCAAATAACTTAAAATCATATATTTCATATATTTAAAGAGTAGACATTTTTGGTATATTCGGACTTTTACACAATAAATTTTAAAATGTCCCATGAAAACGAACTCAAGTATTTGATATCAGGAAATCTGTATTAACATCGTAAATTCATACGCACCATATATTTTCGTTCATAGTTACTGAACTACTAAAACTTGACCTAAATTGATTTTGTTTTTATATTTAAGTGAATTTCCTAATTCGAACAATTTCGAAAGATACAATTAACTCATTTTTAGTAAAGAAACACTTATGAGTTAATTCAAAACAATTCAACATTGAATTCTTTTGTGTTTAAATATACACAGAAACAAGGTGATAATTATAATTCATTTTTATTGTGGATTTATTCTGTTGGGTGGTGATTTTCAAAACAAAAAAAGAAAAGTGAACACTAGTTCAATTATACAAGTGAACAAATAAAACACTAAAATATGCCTCCAGGTAAGTGAAGATTTACATTATGTAATGAAGATTATTTGATTGCGTAATAATCTTTTTACTTTTATTAAATATAGTTAAAAATAAAGATTGTCTTATGTATTTGTTGTATTCAACGATCAATAAATCAATCATACAGTAACTAAGTTGTTCAACTGTTTTTTCATTCTATTAACTATATTTATATCAACCATGATGAACTTAATTATTTACGCTTAAATGTTTAACTTCAAACCAAATGTATGAACCTTGACTTGAATACCGAGTTATATTTTATGTTGTTTGATATAATTCTTAGCTAACGTAAGGAATATCTATGCCTTTATTTGATTAAAGTATGACTATTTTACTAAATTGAATTATTTAATCAAATTAGTCCAATCATCTTATGTAATGAGTTCTTTTAAACAGTCATATTAGGACTGTAATCGTTCGAACGAAAGACCGTAGACCCTTGGTTCGAGTCCCGTATTCGGGATTGTGGATGCCCACTGTTGAGCGGTCATATACTAGGACGAAACGTTTATTCAGTGCTTCTATGTTTTCAGTATTGGTCTTGCTTAAATGGACTCATGAATTCAACTAAGTAAAAAACTATATGATTTATGATAATAATATTGTTTGATCAAAAGGAACGTCGTGAATTAGATACCAAACTTTCATCATCATACTTAAATTACAGTCCAAACTAAATTTATGTATTATTTTTCTATCAGTATATTTCGGAAATTCTATGGGTTATAAACAAACTGAAAGAAGAATAACTAATAATGTTCTAAAGAATATGTTTACCTAACTATTCGGGATAAAATTGACTAAAATTAATAAGATGATAGTTTTTATTATGATTCAGTTTAAGGCTTTTCAGTGGCATTTTCTCTTGATCACAAATCTAAACATTAGCAAGATGTCTATCGTCAATCAAGACAGAATCCAATGATTTACATTATTAACTTCAGTGAATTAGTAATATTCAAGATATAATCATTTAACCCAATTGTTCAATATGAATTGAGATTAGGATGAGAGTAGTCAGCAGTTGTTTTTAACGCGTATAAAATGCATATTTCAAAGTGATTTTATATGAGTCAAGAGTTAACCACTGGAATATTCACCTCATTTTTATCACTCAACTAACATACTGATCCTAGTATTGTTTATAGAGGCTGTTCATAGCTTTTATTTCTTTCATATCATTGGATATTATTAGTTTGATCGTTTCAAACTCTTAATTCGTTTGATTTTGAATAAATTAACTTTCGTAAGTTTGAATGATGTTGAACGAAACAGTGAATAACTGAAGAATGCTATTAATTTCGTCCATTAATTAATGGATTACGAGCTTAATACAAAGTTAACTGAGTCTCATGACACTTTTGTGACTAGGATCTTACTTAACCTGTACAATGAGTTAGTAACCAAGCTGTTGGGCATAGATGTTAGAAATTTAAAGATAACCAACTTAATATAAAGATCATCTGAAATAACTTATTATCTAAGACTGATGTTTTGATCCAAACACGTTTAAAAAAACAGAATGACATAAAGATTACAGTTCATTTCCCATTTCAATCAAATTGGTGATAATTTCACTTAATTATTGTCTAAAAAGTAGGGTATTGTGTTAATTGAACAAATGATTACTGTCATTAAGAGGATATTCGTTAGAATTCTGCCTCCAATACTTCGTTTCATAATCATTCATAATCTCTGGCCAACACAGTAAACAGTATTATTTTAAAGTGTGTTTCTTGAGTGCTAATCAAATACAAAACTTTTGTTGCTTAATAAACAAGTATGCTCACTACAAAGTCTACAATAATATGAGTTCGAAACTATCGCTTATCCTTTATTTCACAGACATTTATCCACTCAGGCATTATTCTCGATTGTGGTAATAAGGTTCATTAAGAATTGTATACCAGAAGCTTAGATCGACTCCTGAATTCAACTGTGAAAATATTACAATCCCCACAAATCCTTTATAGTGATAATACTCAAGTGCTCACTAATGACTAGCTTCAAGATGAATTTCCTGGAGTTCTAGTGAGAAACCGTGATCTATGGAGTCCGATCCGTGTCGGGCGTGGGATAGTTACCCACCGAAGACAATGGAAAATGGTCGCCCAATTTCGTAGATTGATTAAAGTTAAACATCAAAACTGTTGGATGCTGATTCGGTTGTATAGGACGTTAAGCATTCGCACACGAGACCGAAGGTCCTGGGCTGGAGTTCTGAGTTTAAGATCGTGGACGCACACTGTTGAGGAGTCCCGCACTAGGACGAAACGGCCGTTCAATGTTTCCAGGTTCATAATGGCGGTCTATCTTAGGTTGACTCATAAGTTCAATTGTGAAATTATTACAATCTCCACAAATCCTCATTCTGAGAAAATCTTTTCTTTATAGTACAAAATGTCGTCAGTATGATTCCTCGTTTTTCTGATTTTTAAGAAATCATACATAAAATCTTAATATTTTAATGTATGTATATTATGAGTTTTCTAGCTATAGATGTCTTTATTATAAAAGGTTATAAAGAATACTTAAATGTATGGATTACGTCTCAGTGATCTTATTTTGAATGATAAATACTGGTACTTGCTACTGGAAACAGTGGATATATTGAAGGAAATAAAAACACAAAGACAGTAGATGAAGACTCACTTGACCTCAAAAATAATTCGAAATTATATACGAATACACTGGTAGTTTATAAAGTTACTTGCTCATTGTTTGATTAACATTCAGATTGGTATAACTCTAACTGAGAAGTATTTAACATCAGTTAACCCATAACTTATGAATATGGACACATAAGAATATATGACTCACCCAGTGAGTTACATCGTTTTCTTCTTTCTTAATTGTGGTTGTATTTTATAAACAACTAGAAGAGATCGATTACATCCGAATCAACTAAATTGTTGCACACTATATCAGCTCTCCAAGAGCAGCTGATGAATTTAAAACTGATTACTAATTTTAAATACACTTTGTTAAATGTTTCCCATTGAGTTTGGCTTGTTCTAAAGAATATTCAGAGAACAATTAGTTTGAAGTGATTGTCCTATTATCCATATATATAACCATTTTAGTCATAAATCGATTATCTGGAGTAAAATAATTGACTTTTAGACTACTTACCCAAAATTCAGTAGTATACTATACTAAATCACAGGAAATGTTTAGTTTTATATGGCTCTTACTCATCTTAGTTAAAGAAACAGCATTCAATCTATGTATGTTGGTTAAAATGACACAATGATGGTGACATTTATTGAAATTAAAGTAAGAGTAGGGAAATATATGAGAAAATATATTTCTTGTCAGTAAATTCAAGTCAGATTTAACGATTCAGTTCAAGTGAATGATTAATAATTGTAATAGTCGTAAATATAGGGCATTGCTTTAAGATTATTATTATTATTATTATTATTATTATTATTATTATTATTATTATTATTATTATTATTATTCAACATCACATTTTTGGTACAACTTAGAATTCTCAGCATAAAGTATTTCAACAAGTTTCCTTTTCTTATACCTTGATCGGTTGTGACGATAAATTTTGAATGATGACCAGTTAGGTGTTATGAGTTCGGTAATCCACATTTGATTAATGTCCATTTGTTTTAATGCAAATTACCAGCCACCATTATGTCGCTGATTGTACTTTTTTGCATCCCGTATAGCGAAAGGTTGTAAACTTTTCATAAACGCGCCTGAATGGCTTGTGAGCACAATAGACATAATGATGTGCTAAAACAAACACCAAAACAGATAACTTGAAGAAATATCTAGATAGAAGGAACAGGTAGCCCAGATATTCAAACAAAGTTATATAATAGTAATCGAATCTATTGTTTCATAAAACTTTACAAAATCAATAAAATCATATATGGCGTATTCAGTTATATAGGAAACACATAGCAATAGAATGTTTATAGTTTATATGTAAGCTAAGAATATATGAATCTAGTCATTGTTCTCCGTAAGTAATAATCCTAAATTAAGAAACATAATAACAGAGTTATAATGCATTAAATGTTTATGTGAAGAACGTATTGATGATTCGGTTTTAGAAAAGATGATAGCTGAAATTGAAAAATGGATAGAATCATGACAAAATTTGAATCAAGTCCTGACAACTATGAATACCATACTCTACAAATTGTATTATTATATCCAGTTACTTGAAAGATTTTTTTTTAGTCTTAATGTTATAATAAATGAACTCATACCATCAAATTTTACATCTTCTTATTTCTAAAGCAATCTAACAAATCGAGATACAGTTATCAATTGAAAAATGTACCTAACATAACAGTATCTGTTATGATATCACAAAGTAAAGACTGTATGCCATATGATCCAATCAATATTTATGAATGATACCAAATTTGTATTTGATCAACTAATGGTTTTACATAGTGAGAACAGTACTTTAAGCCCATAAACTAACGTTTTTGTAAATAAACTAGTCAAAAATATTATGATAAAAAAGTTCTGTATTGAATTATTCATCCAAAAAATATATCTTCTAATGCTGAGAATAGATAGTATTGTATAATTAAATAGATCCATAATTAAGTATATATTGGTCTACAAGTTCTTATCATATGAGATAACATTTTACTGAATGTTATCTTGTGGATCAAAACTATTTTCTTAAAAATAGGGTCACCGGAATTAAAATAATGTAATCATAAATGACAATGGTGTATGGTGGCGCAAGTTCGTGGATTGGTTGAAGTTAGACATTAACACCGTTGGATGCCGGCTCAGTGGTCTAGTGGTTAAGTGCTTGCTCGCGAAGCCAGTAGGTCCTGGGTTCGAATCCCGCGTGGTGCGGGATCGTGGATGCGCACTGCTGAGGAGTCCCATACAAGGACGAAACAGCCGTCCAGTGCTTCCAGGTTTTCAATGGTGGTCTAGCTTCAACTGACTCATGATTTCAACTTGTGAAATTTCTTAAACTCTCCACAAAACCCATTCTG